ATACTGTATCACCAAACAAATCAACAATGACAAACCAAGGTGAAAAAGAGACTGACTTATCATTAGCAGACAGTGATGTTAATGAAGAGCCAGTTTTCATAGAACCTTATCGAAATCCTGACATCAATGGACTCCCAGGAAAATGTACGAGTCCGTCACAATCTATTGAATTGATAGAGGGTGAAAATCAAATGGAAGTCAGAAGCGATGTCCCTAAAGGTCAAAAAGAAAATGTTTATTTTCTTATTGAAAAGAAACACCATGATAACAACACCAAGCGTTCTTTCATAGATGATTGTGGTGTTTGGTACAAAAATTCCTTAAAAACACCATATTATTTGTCACGTAAGCATGTATATTTTGTATACACTTGGGGTAAGTCACCTTAATGGTAGGGTACCGCTAGGCGGAATTGCGTCACGGGTAGGTGTGCACGGGGTGAGATTCTCATGACAGGTATTGTGTCATTGTTACCGTGCACCCGATATGGATTTATCGGCATTTAGCGTCATGTGAGACAGGCACAGGGGACTCACTGTGGTAAGTAATCTTTATCTCTTTTTCTTTTCTACATTAGTTGGTATTGTTGTTTTGTACCAGTCCATATATCGGGTCAAACAATCTAAGTATCTGTGCGCTCCAGTCAGCCGTGACCATTGTTTATTGTTTGTATGTTGATAACTTTCATTTTTGTTGTTTTCGTACTATAATTGAATATATTATGTTTGTTTTCCTAAATATGCACATGATATAAACATATTGGAGTGTTGTACATGAAACTGCATAGTCTATGTCATGTTTCGGGTCGATTTTAAAATCTATGGAAGCCCTGATCAATTTATTAGTGCCGAGCGTAGTGCGTACGCGAACGAGTGGGAAAAGTATGGAAGCCTTGAGGTGTCAGTTGGTGTATTTCGTAATTTTGTTTTATTTTGTTCGTAATTTGGAGCCGCACATTATTTCGACGCTAGTATGAACGTATTTCAGTATTTTCTAATTATGGTTCATTCTAAAGTTGAATAATTATGGTAAATGATAAGTATTTTGTACCATGTGTTTTGTTAGTATAGTATGGAAGTGTGAGTGGAAATTATAACTATTTGTGTTAATCATTATAGCTTCACATGACGGGTTGGAACATTTATTGAGTCAGGACCAGGCAGGCCTCTCCTTTACATTGCGACCCAAGCGTCAGGACCGACCAGAAGTAACGACTTTCATTCAGGGTCAAGGTCAGCGAGGGAGCATACTTAGAAGTTACACTGCCAGGGTCGGCGACTTGAATTCAGCACTTAATCAGCTGTCATGTCATTGACATAAGTGCGTTGCCTATTATGGTGATACAAGCGTGGAACTGCTTGAGGACGGTGACTCTGGATTGAGTCACGGTGATTCAGAGTATGGAACTCTATTGGGTTTGACAGGAACACTGTTCTGTTTCGTGAGCTAGAAGCTACAGGGACACTTATCATTATTTGGTTTATGAGTGTGTGAGTTAGCGAGTGTGACATCTTTAAATATATAGTTTATTTGTTTCATTGTAAATAAACATCAATGTTATACTGTGATCGGTTCTTCCAGCTTTCTTTTCCCGGATCACCAACCGTCGCTCGTCCCACGTTAACATTATTACAAATTAGAGTCTGGGAATTTGGTTACTTTATTCAACCAAAAGGGCACGTACTGTAGAGAAGTGAAAAGGAAAATTATTCCTATGGACCCCCAACCTGATCCTAATGCAGTGATAATTCTCCAGCATTATTACTCAAAATTGCGCAAAGATCCCAACTACCAGAGACGAGTAAGTTGGTTCGATCACATTCCTGAAGGATCGGCAAAAATTTCTATAGAGATATACGAGTATATCGGAGATTATCCAGGTGAGAGCTTGCACGGCAATGCTAAAATACCTAGTCAGAGTGACTTCAGAACAAAAAGAAACAATCAATCAAGGTGTAAAGCATGGGAAAAAACCAGTCCAAATTTCAAAAGAACTGGAAAAAGTTGATCCCGAAAATATGCTTGACCTCAAAGTGATCCAAAACGCTAAATATAATGACAACAAGCGTGAAAGAGGTAACACCTCGAAAAATAATATGGCTGATGATTTTCAGTCTATTCTGAATTCATTACAGCAAAATTCTTTCATAAGATCTGTTATGGCAAACAATGATAATCGTCCACCTAATGTAATTCGTTACACAGATGAACAGCTGGAAGATATGAAAAACTGCATGTTAAACGGCAGTATCATTGGCATTGATAGGACATTTAATTTAGGACCCTGTTTTCCGACTTTACTTGTGTATCAAAATCCAAACCTGACACGAAAAAGAACTTCTACAGCCCCAATCCTGTTAGGCCAAGTTTTTTGCACTGGGATGGTTCTTATGTTACATACTGTGATTTTCTGTCCAAAATTCGCTCTGCACTTGGTTTCCATATTCCAGTTGATCAAATTGTCTTTGGTACTGATGAGGAAGTTGCATTGATTAATGCAATCAAGACCACTTTCCCTTCATCTTCCCATATTTTGTGTTCTAGACATTTAAAGGAAAATGCACAACGCAATTTGACCAGTCAAAATATACCTGAGAAAATCAGAAATGAAATTGTTGAAAGCATCTTTGGTCATTCAGGCATACTTTATTCCATGTCTAGAATTTCATTCATCGAAAGAGAACAGGAAATCATCGAAAAATTTGAAGATCTGTTTGGTAAGTATTTGAAAGAAAAGTTATTGCCAACATTGCCCAGTCAAGAAAATAAGAACATACCATGTGACTGGAAATCCTCAAAGGTGCCAGACCTTATTGACAGATCAAGGGATATACACGAAACCCAACTATTGGAAATACGTTCAGCTTTGCATGGTAGAGGAAATATGGAACTGGCAACAAGGGCCAAATATTTATCTGTTCCCCATCATGTATGGGTTGATTTAAATGATGATCAAAGAAGAAAATGCTTCAACAAATTTATAAAACTCAAATGCAAAGAAACTGTAGAATCCACAGATGGACATTTAATCCTCCCATCAACTTCAAGACTTGCAAAAAAACCTGGCCAAGTCAAAATAATGAGGCATGCGAAAACAACAACTTTCGCTTACAAACGTGCCAAATTCAGTTGAGCTGAAAATAGAGAAAAAACAATGATAAGCATTAAAAACCATGCCCTTAATGTACAATTTTAGATGGTCTAGATCGCAAGAGTGCACTGTTGTTACAGTGGGGACTGCTATTGCGTGCCCTTGGGTTTTACTTACACTCCTTGGGCTATTCCATATTTTATCTGAAGTATTATGTAAATGTTATTTTTTTAAGTTAGGTTAATTAGGATAAATCCAAACATAGAAAGACTCGTCACATCGTCATGTGGCCTATTAGAGGTAGAACTTTCTATTATGTTTGGGTCTTATTTTCTTAAATGTGAAAAATTTTGAAATAAATGTTACAAATTAGCCTTTAGGGAAGAGGAAAAAATGTTAAATCCAAATTAACATAGAAAGGCTCGTCACATCGTAATGTGGCCTCATCGAGGTAGAACTTTCTAATATGTTTGGATCTTATGATTACTTATTTCTTACATGATATTTTTAATTTGATTTGCAAGTCAAAATGTAATAAGTAAAACTATGGAATATTAAGGATTCTTTTAAATTAATAATTACTATTGTAGTTGATAATTAGTTCAACAATAATAATAATTATCATTAGTTTATCATTTGATCGGGTGTATCTCTGAATGCCCACATTTTGAAAGTCCCTCAGGGCAGTTTTGTTTTGATAGTGATTCTAGTCTTTTTCTTAAATGGGTTCTCTGTGCCAACAGGTAAATTTACCTGTAAAATGATCAGTTGATAGTCTGATATATATTGTATAGTTGATAGCCTTTACCCACCTTTAATTTTATATCTATCTATATTTTTTTCTTTTTATTACATGCATTTATTTTATGTAGTAATACACAAAATGTCCAATACTTTGATAAATTTACACTTTTATTTTATTTTTGTACTTTTGTATCTGTCTTTAATACACAAAATGTTTAATTTTATGTGCATGATAATAAAGTCTACATCAGATCAGAGATGTATAAAGATTTATGTTTCTATTTGAATATTATATGTGAGTAACCATGATCCAAACTTATTTATTTTGAGCAGTTGAAAGTAATCTTAATAGTGATTAAGTATTGTTTTAATTACCTACTCTGATCACATATTCACTATCCCGTTATGAACCGTGATCACTTTCATGTATGGAAGCTGTCTCCTTGAGTATGTATTCACCATCAATAGAGGAGTGATACAACTGCTACATGAAACTTTCAGGCGAGTATCCAAGCTGGTACATGGTAGTATAAAGCCAGGCCGTTTCAAATAATTTTTCACTCAGATTTCACTTTCTTTATTGATTGCATCTGATTTTTCCCCAACACATCTTCACTTGCAGAATGGCTAATGCTCAGATTAACCTGACGTTTGTTGAAAACAGACTGGGTGGTCAGAACTTAGCACATGATGGTCACCTTTATAGGGTTAAAAACAATCGTGGTGAAAGGTAAATAAGTTATATTTTAAAAGTATTATTCATATTCAACTTTAGAAATAAACTACATTCATATATTTATTTTATATATTTATCATGTTTATTTTTTCTGTTACAGGACCTACTGGCGGTGTACCATCTCTACTTGCCCAGCCACCCTAAACACCCGGAACAGGATACTGGTAGGATTTGGACACCATCCCCACAACCACCCTGCCAACCATGCCAACATCGTCGCCAAGGAGATCATGTCCTATGTTAGGAACCGAAGCCAACGAGAAGTCAGACCAATACCATCTATATACCAGGAGGAGATAACCAAGCTGCGAGATGAGGAATGGGACGATGGGACGATGAGACAAGGGTCGTTGTGGGACGGATCCCTACTTTCAATTCAGCCAGATCAGCTCTCTACAGAGCCAGACGTAAGATGACACCAAGCTCCCCATGACCACTAATGACATCAATCTTGATGGACGATGGACTGAGACCCTGACCGGAGAGCACTTTCTGCTGATTGACGATGGAGATGAAGCCCGGATTCTTGCCTTCGCCACCTCGGGGAATATGACAGACCTTGCTGCTTCGGACAAGATATACTGTGATGGAACTTTCTACACCTGCCCGACGTTGTTTCATCAAATCTACACCATCCACGCAGAGGTTGATGGAACCATGACTCCTTTGGTTTACGCCCTACTCCCCGGAAAGAGCCAAGAGATCTACATCCGTTTCCTGAGCCTACTGAAGACAGCAATGAATGACTGCGACCTACCAATGACTCCAACTACTGCGTTTGCCGACTATGAAGTTGCCTTCCACAACGCCATGCGACATGTTTTTCCGGGAATTGTCATGAAGGGATGCTTCTTCCATTACACCCAGTGTATTTGGCGCAAGGCACAGATGACAGGACTGCAGTCAGCCTACAGGGAGAATGGAGACATTCGGAAGCTGATCCGTCGGGCAGCCATTCTTCCCCTCATTCCATAGCAGCAGGTAGAGGATGTCTGGTTTAACGCGCTGAATGATTTGGAGGATGCTGACCTGCCTATCGACGCAACCCCGTTTACCGACTACGTTGTCAACCAGTGGTTTGAGAGAGACCAGACCACATGGAATCACTATGCCACAGAGGGACCCCGCACAACTAACCATTTAAGAGTCTTGGCATGCCAAACTGAAGAAGATCCAGCATGGGCATCCTAACATCTACACACTTATCCAGACCTTCAAGGAAATTGATGCAGCAAATGAAATCAACAATGTCCAGAGAGGAGCAGGAGGAAGCCAACGACCTCGTTCCAGGAAGTACAGAAGAATTGACTCCCGCCTGGCTGGAAACATCGACATAATGGAGTATGCAGATGCTGCTTCGGACCTTATTAATCTAGGGTGATAATATTATTTATTAGGGCTTCAACTACAGACATTCGATGAATTAGTGCTGTTCATGGTTATTTTCTTTGAATTGTGTTTTTTTTAATTTTTAATTTTTTCTTTCAGACTTCTGTACATATGTCTAGTCTAATATTGATCTAGTTACTGCTTATTTTTCAGAGAATGTCTTCCTATGCTGTACAATGTAGTTACTATTTCTAACGAATGTCTTTTTTAGTGTTGCATGCATGTTAAAAATAGTAAGCTTAAAGTTACTTCATGAATTTTGTCTAATTTTAAACATTTTCATATTTTTGCTGTACAATGTATAGTTATCAGTTTTGCTTGTATGTTAAAAATAAGTTATTTCATGATTTTTGCTTAAATGTAACCATTTTTCATAATCTCATGGTTTTTGTTTTAATGTAACCATTTTTCATAATCTCGTGATTTTTGTTTAAATGTAACCATTTTTTATAAATTATACCCAAATCCAGCCAATGTCTATACTGTGTAAAACACAGGTAAATCTCAGGTAAATATACAGGTGAAAAAGACAGCTTATATGAAACAGTATATATCAAGATGGCGGCGATCTGAAGCGCACCGTCGGAGTTCGCTCAGATATTTTTCTTAGATATTCTGTTTCCAGGACATGTACCGTACCAAGAATGAACAGACTGTTTGATAACGTAAGTGCAGAAACAATACCGTTGTGGTTTTCAATTTGGTGCAATTCGTAAGGTGTCCTGAAGCTTTTTATAACGTGAGTGTTGTATTGCTATATACACTGAGGAGTCGAACTCTATGACCTAGGCCCATTGTCTGTACTGACCCTATCGCGGTAACTTCGTCACGCTCTATCAATCCTGTTTGTTTCCTTTCACGCGGTGAGCGTGTACACACGAGTCATGGCTAGTACTCCAATATCATCGGTACTCCAGGAGACGAGAGAGACTATGTTTGGTAATGATTCGACGACACAATTGAATAAGATTATTGAACTTATACAGCATATCGATACACGACTCCAACGGTTGGAGAGAGAGACTGTCCAGAACTCGCTTAGCTCACTTAGTTTGAAAGTTAAATGATTTCTGACCTGAAAGGGAAGAACGCTGAAATGGAAATGAGCTGTCAAGCAATTAGCAATATGTTTGATCAAATGAAAGTTACTACAGATAAACACTCAAAGGAATTACAATGTATGCATCATACCTTATCTATTCCGTCCAAGGCGGATGTTAAAGTGAATGAATTACAGGAATCTTTTAGTAAATTACAGGCCGAAAAGGAAGATCTTAAAAATAGTGATACAGAATTGAAATGGCGCTCTATGAAGAACAATTTAGTGTTCAGTGGTCTGCGAGAAGATGATGATAAAGATACGGAGTCTGTACTACGAGACTTCCTGAATATGGAGTTGGGAATTTCCCAAGCGGAACTTGGTAACGTTCACAGGTTTGGAAAGTTCGTGAGAGGGAAGCATAGACACATAGTTGAGAGATTCCTGTATAACCAAGAGAGGTCCGATGTTTTGAGCAATGCCAGGAAACTTAAAGGAACATCTTACTATATTAACGAACAATTCCCTCCCGAAATTGAAGAGAAGCGGAGGACGCTATACCCCAAACTTAAAGAACTGCGGCGTAAAGGTCATCGAGCTAAGCTAGTCCGGGATAGGCTGATTGTAGATGGACATCTGTATACGGACAATACTACAACAGACGAGAGTGATAGTGTTCCGAATGCGAGTGGCATATCACGCAATACGACCTTGCGTCTGACGTTTAGTGACATTACGGCATCTAACCATATGATAACACGATCAACCACACCCGGTTCTAACACATCGAGAGTAACTCCCCCAGCTAAACGCAGGAGGTTTACTTCCGGGAACTCTAGATTCAGTACGTCACATAACCCTCGACGTGGTATTAATACCTCTACACCCCGATCCCTTGAAGAAACATATGTTAAAACTGTCTAGGGATATGCGGAGGGAGAATCGCACAGATGTTCTGAAGATATTACTTTTAAAATAATATTAATGTAAACGGTCTCGTAAATAAACTGAAATGTCCAGAATTTATTGAATATGTAGAACAATACGTTATGATTTGTATCATCGAGTCTAAGACTGATAGCGCAGACTCAATTGACATTGAGGGCTACACTGTATTTAATAAACACAGAAAAACATTGTCTGTGACTAAGTCTGGTGGTATAATTGTCTATGTTAAAAATGAACATGCAAAATATATATCTCATTTAAAAACAAATGCTAGACATGTATTATGGATTAAAATGAACAGCCCTCTCCTGAACTGTGAAGGCAACGTATTGTTTGGTATAATTTACATACCCCCTGCTAATTCTATTTACTCTTCGACAGATTGTTTTGAGGATGTTGAGAATGAATTACTGACCCTCAGTGGTGATGTTAAATATATTTGCCTACTTGGATATTTTAATGGTAGAACAGCAGATTCACCTGACTTCATAGAGGTAGACGATGATAATTTTGAAAATTCAGATGTCTACAAACTTGAAAAAATCGGGGTACCTAAGATAAGAGGTTCACAGGATAAAGTTTGTAATAACTATGGTTAACATTTACTAGATATGTGTAATCATTGTAATAGTTTTATCCTAAATGGCCGAATGGGTGAAGATAAAACCTCGGTAAATTAACTTGTAGAAATACCAGTGTAGTGGATTATTGTATAGGTAATTCAGAATTGTTTAAGTTAGTAAATGAGTTTTCAATTAATGATTTCTCATCTTTATTGTCAGATGTGCACTGCCCAATACATCTATGTTTATCTAAAAAATGTAATGATTTTAGTACTAATGAGGTTTTTGGTGATAATTACTTTTTGTGGAAACCCAGAAGATGGAATGATGATGATAAAGGAACGTTTGTTGAATACATAACTGAAAGATTACCAATTATAGAAAATATACTATGTGTGATAACTGTAAATCCACATTTTATTAATGAAACTGTGAGCAAAATGTGCAAAATCTTCTTCGATGCTGCCAAACATGCTTTTGGTACAACCCTCCCCAGAAAAAAACATCAAAAATTTCAAAAACCCTGGTTCACTAAAGAATGTAAGTCTGCCAGACAGAATCATAGAAGAGCCAAAAGATTATAGAAAAGATATGGTGATATAGTCTTTAAAGAAGACTTATACAAGAAGGAACGTAATTACCGTAAAACACTTAGATCTGCTGTGTACACACAGTTAAAGCAGATAAAAACTAAATTGAATAATTTAAGATCTAAGAATCCCAAAGAATATTGGAAAATATTATATCAAGGAAGTTGTAATAATAAATTGTGTATGGCAAACATCGACGATCTATTCAATTTTTTTTAGCACATATTTCAATAATGACGTTGAAGGTGATATTAACCATTAACAAACTTCAAGAGTTATCGAACCTGAATACTAATAACTTTTTGAATGCACCGATATCATCGTCCGAAATATTGAAATGTGTTAACAAATTGAAATATAATAAGGCTGTGGGCGAAGATTTAGTTTGTAGCGAATATATAAAATCTACTGTTAATATTATGATCCCTATATATGTATACGTTTTAAATTATATATTTGATACTGGTACTATACCAGATTCTTGGCTTGTAGGCAACTTTATACCTATATACAAAAACAAAGGAGATAGGTATGATGCTAAAAATTATAGACTGATCACACTCATTAGTTGCCTAGGTAAATTATTTACTGCTATAATTAATGAACGCTTAAATTATTATTCAGAAAATATTGAACTTATACTTGAAAATCAAGAGGGATTCCGAAGGCAACACTCTACTGTCGATCATATATTTCCTAATTGAACTATCAAAACAATTTAAAAATAATATGTACTGTGCTTTTAGAGACTTCGAAAAAGCGTTCGATAGTGTTTGGAGAATAGGACAAGTTAATAACAAACGGTATAGGTGGAAAATGTTTTAACGTACTTATTAATATGTATAATGGAATTAAAGCTAGAGTAATTAAAGGTAGCTCTATTTCTAATATTTTAAACTGTAATTCTGGAGTCAGACAAGGGGAAAATCTGTCCCCATTTTTATTCTCCATCTTCTTAAGCGATTTGGAAGAGTTTCTGAAATCCCGAGATTGTAAAGGCTTGTCTAATTTGGCAGGAAATTTGGCGAGAGAGTTACAAGTTTACCTCAAGTTGTATGTTTTACTTTATGCCGATGATACCATTTTATTGGCAGACTCTGCTGACGAAATACAAAAGCAACTTAATGTTTTTTATACTTATTCAAAGCTATGGCGCCTAAAAATTAATATTGATAAGACTAAAGTAATGGTTTTTGGCAGAGGGACAGTGTCTCGGGATACACAATTCACTTATAATGGTTGTAATATAGAAATAGTGAAGCAATTCAAATATCTTGGGAGTCTATTTCACTCGTAATGGTTTTACTCAGTTCAATATCAAACAATTATATAGTAAGGGTCTAAAGGCGATGTATAGTGCTATTGCTAAATGTAGAAATCATAACCTATCTATTGACTGTAAATTAGACATTTTTGATAAAGCTATTAAACTCATCATATTATACG